ATTTTGATATTTCTTCCAGGCAGCTATGTTTTAGTGCTGTGTTTTTTTAAGAATCCTTTTGATTTGTATTATTGAATTTGACCAACACATTTATGCTTGATTAAATTCTTTAAATAGATGACAACTTTTAAATGATCAACAATTTATATTCATTAAATATTGATAAAGAATTGGATTTAGTGGAATGTCCCCTCTATTTCCGTTATCTATTAATATATGTTCATGTTGTAGCAACATTATAGTTTATTCGATATGCTTCCTTCTCTGTTTTCAATGGGTTAAACTTAAAACTTAAGTCATATTGGGCCAGGGATGTAGCTAGCAGTGCATTTCCTGCCTGCCTGGCAAGCATGAGGCCCTGGGTTTGATTCCCGGTACCAAGAAAGAAAAGTGAAAAAAAAAAAAGACCCCCCTCAAAAAGCCCCTAAAAAAAAAAGCTTTTTTAAAAAACTTATGTCATACTTTAAAAACAGTTGTATGTTTTTTATTTTATTCCAATTTCTATTTAACAAATATATAAACAAATGAAATAGATTTGTGAGTTTGGAAATCGTGATATATCTTCTCTAAAAAGGATCTATCTTCAGTTTTGACAGAAAATTGACATCTATGATTGCAGAATCCTGTATGTGCCAGTTTATATGACCCTAATTTGATTGGATTAATAGAATCCTAAAAAGGTCATTGGATGTGAGGACCCTAAACTCATCAAAAGCTGAATGAGAGTCTAGTTGAAAGAACTGGGTCAAGGGGCAGTGACTTTAGATCCCTGGCCCCTTCTTGAGCTCTTCCCATGCTCTGATTCTCCAATACTGGAGTTGAATATCTTTCCTTTGCCTATAATGTTTCCGTTTTGGAGCCAGCTAATTATAGATTGAAACCATTGAAACCATGAGCTAAAATAAATCCCTTCTTTAAATTATAGTTGTCAAATATTTTGTCCCAGCAATTGGAAAGCTGTCCAATACAATGTGTAAAACATTATTATATTGACCCTCAGTGAAGACCCTCAGGACTCTTCATTAGGCTACCTGGATGGTCCATAATAAAGGGTCTCTCTCATATGGTGACCTGGGCTACAGTCTGCTAAAGGCATGCACACTTACAGCTCCCATGCCTGGGTTGGGAAATCTCTGTCTCTGTGTGCTGTGTCCACATTGTCTTTCTAGCTACCTCTTTCCTTTGGCTGTACTCCTAATTTATTGGCCTAGATTAGTCATGATCTGTCTTAAAAGAGAAAATACAAGATAGAAGCTTTATTTCCTAACATAGCCTTAGGCATCTTGTGCCTCATTTGGTTTGTGACTGTAGTAATCATTATTCAGCTGAGATTGAACAGCAATGGGCTATTTTCATGAGAAGAGCATATCAAAACCATCACAATGGTTTCTAGGCTCCCCCCTGACACGCCTGTGATTGAACTCTGGACCTTGTACTTGCAAGGCAGGCAGAGGAACCACTGAGCTAAATCTCCAGCCCTCTAAGCATTTTTTAAAACCAAATAGGATCTCATTATGATTTTCCTCTGCTTGGCGTTGGAACCTGAGGTGGCTAGATGGAAAAACTATGAATAAATACAGTTTTGCAATATAAAGCACTTTGCAAGAACCTGATTTCTAGACAAAATCAAGCCAAGACAAAGTTGCCTTTTAAGGACAACTTACTCTCCAGGCAGCTGTACCTAGAAACTTGATTGCTTTTCAGGGAATGATTATTTCTCCAATTTACTAAATACAAGCAGAAATCAACATTTTTCCCATTTTCTGGGACTTCATTCAAATTATTATCTAAATTTGGGGATTTTATTCAAATTAATTGTTTGTTACCTTAATTTTGTTTGGTCAGATAACAACAACTTGAATTATATCTTTGTATAATAAAATATGTAATTATAAAATTGAGTCAAACAAATAATAAAGTTAAGATCATACCATTTAGCAAATAAAGAGCTTTCCTTGTAAATACTAGTTTGTAGCATGTTTCAGGTATTATATCAGGAGATGGGTCAGGATGAATATTTGACATTAGTTTAGAGTAAAAGTAAAGTTTTTATAAAAATCAACCACTGTGGAAATCAATATGGAGATACCTCAAAGAGCTTGGACTGGAGGTTCCATTTGACCCAGCCATCCCTCTGTTGGGTATCTTTCCAAGAGAACTAAAAGAATCATATCACAGAGAAGTATGTGCACCCATGTTTATAGCGGCACAGTTTGTAATAGCTAAATCTTGGAAACAACCTATTTGCCCATCCGTTGGAAACTGGATAAAGAAGTTGTGGTTTTTCTATAAAATGGAATATTACTCAGCCATAAAGAGCGAGAGAATAGATTCATTCATAGGAAAATGGATACATATTGAAGATATACTCCTAAGTGAAATAAATAAGTCCCACATGTGTAAATACCAAATAGTTTCCCTGGTGTGAATATTCTGCAACAATGCATAAGATTCTAATAAGATTACTGATATTTAGAAATGGGAGGAAAGGAGCTAAAGGTGTAGGGAAGGTGTGATACGTAGGGGAAGAACAAAAAGGGAAAAGAAAAAAATGTGAGAGAATGAAAAGATGAAAATAAAGTGTTTGTAGATGGGGAGGGGAGGAGGGGGTGAAGGGAGGGCAGAGGTAAGGGGAAAAAAATGAGAATCAAGACTTGCTATGTAAAGGTACATGATCCCAACAATGAATGTAACTGTACTGTATCCCTAAATGTACCAATAAACTCAATAAAAAAAAAAAAGAAAAAAAAATCAACTACTCTTACTGCTCCTACATTTTTAATTGCACAAATATACTTTTTGTATTTTTCTAGATAATAAAGATTAAAGAAAGGTACTTATTTAATTTTGTATAAATTTTATCTCACTGACTTTGAAAGCATGATTTTCTGTATTTCAGATTCACAGTCAAATGGGAGGGAATATTCTTTTAAGACAAATCGTATGACCAAATGAAGAAAGTTCGTGTGTGTGTGTGTGTGTGTGTGTGTGTGCACCCACATGCATGCACATATGCATATGTTTTTTTTTTTCCCTGGTGTCCTTCTTGCTATCTTTTACTTCTGGCCTATAATCACATTAGAGTCCTTTCATCTTTTAAAATCAAAGTAAGCAAACACGTTTTCCTTAGATCCCTACATCTTTACCTTTTTTGACCTCTTACTCCATCTCTCTTTCTCTTCTCTAAAGTATTAAGAAAATCACCTGTACTTGCTTTTTCTCTAATTTCTTATATCATTCAGTTATTAACCTTCTGTGGTCTGACTTCGCCACCTATCATTGTTCTGAAATTGCTCTTCATCATAAGTTAATACTTAGCAAACCTCATTTCTTGATGTCTGTGGCATTTGACCTTGTTACTGACGCAACTCTTGAAATCTCCTGTTTGATCATTTCTAAAATTTAATCCTTTACCTTTTTAATCTCATTTTCCTACTTTCTTTAGTATCTCACTTTTTTCCACCTTTAGTTTTGATAGTCATGGAGTTTTTCATTACTCATCTCTATTTTGCTGAAGAAATTAATCTCTGCAGAATTCGTATCTTCAGAGCACATATTTTTGTCTCCAGAACTCCAATCATATATTCCTGCTCTCTGCTTGGCCTATATATTGCCCTCATTCCATTGATCATTGAAATTCCACCTGAGGAATATACAATTGCAATAATCTGTTTCTTTTCCCGTATTTTTCTTTCTCCCTGTATCAGTCATCTCTCAACTTCTAGAAGTTTTAATTTCTAAGTATCATTTCAACTTGTCTCCCTTCTGCAGCCTCAGTGCTGCCCTTTGAGTTGTTCTGAAGTTCCATTCCTGTTTTCCTCTCCTTGGGAGATGCCGAGAGCCCTGCAGTGGTAGTCTCTAGACTGAACTCAGTTCTACTTGACCATGCTTTGCTTTTACTACCATACTTAGTAATATGACTCTTTTACAAAAGAAGGAAAAGTTGAATTCTAAATTCAGAACTTGAAAAGTTATTTCAGTAATCATTCTGTAATTTTAATTTTTTTTATACCTTATTTTAAAGTGAGTCAGTAGCTGGAGATTTAGCTTAGTGGTTCCACTGCCTGCCTCACAAGTACAAGGACCCAAGTTCGATCACCAGTACCAAAATAAAATAAAATAAGCCAGTCACCCTCCTTGAATTTTATACATATAAAATGTGTATTTTTGTAGGAGTCAGACTTACTATTTATCATGTATTAAACAAACATTTATTGTCTATACAGTGAACACAGAAAATAGTCTAATGGATACAAGCAGGAATTAAATGCTTGCCCCATTCGACTCACAGTCTCATGAAAGAGTCATGTGAACAAATATCAATATTGCAGTGCAATAGTTGCTAAACAATGGAGTGTAACAAAACTACAGGGGGCCAAGGATGACATAATTTACACCAAAGAGAACTGAAAAGGTATCACAGAGACTGGGTTATGTAAAGCTGAGTGGTAAATTAAGAGTAGGGGTCCGCCTGATGACTGGAAAAGGATGTCCAGGTACAGGAAACAATGCCAACAAGAAACAGTCTGTTTTATGATAAGAAACAAGGACCTTGGACTTTTTGTGAATGGAGATTTATGGAATGTATTCAGGCAGAAGAATCAAAGAATCACTTAAATGTGTTCATGATTACTTTGTACTAAACATTTGTAGGGAAGATTGAAAGTCAAAAAGGCTATTGCAAGGCAGTCATGGTAGTGCATGCCTGTAATCCCAAGCCGAGGCAGGAGAATCGCTGTGAGTCCAAGAGCAGCCTGGGCTACATAATGAGTTCCAGTTCAGTCTCAACTACATGGTGGTGAGACTCTATCTCAAAAAACAAAACAAAACAAAACAAAAAAAATGCTATTGCAAAAATCTAGGCGATATGGGAATCCAAGCCAAATACACAGAGAGTAAACATAAGCACTGAATAAATTTAAATTCTAAAAATAATGCCCAAACTCTTTACGTTCATATTGTATATCTTCATCTTTAATTTCCTTTTGTTTAAACTGTAGATATGGGATATAGAGCTGGAAAGATCTGCAGAATCCTGGGCTGAAAGTTGTTTGTGGGAACATGGACCTGCAAGCCTGCTTCCATCCATTGGACAGAATTTAGGAGCGCATTGGGGAAGGTAGTTTAAAATGAAACGTTTTGCTTCTGAAAATGTGTGTTTAAAATGAAATGCTTAATTCACTATTGCAAAGTTTCAAAGGCTGTTGCTTGAGAGAAGAACAACTAATCACAAAATAAGTAACAAAAACCAAATATCATGCATACTAGTAAAATCAGCAACATAGATGCATGTATTTTATAGTTTTAAAAAATTAGTATATGTTTGCTATGCATGAAAATTACATTCATCCTGGGAAGTTGACAACCATATATAGTGCGCCTTCATCATTTTTAATACCCATCCCCACCTTCCTGTCTTTCCCAACCCCATATGATTTTTTGTTTTAAATCATTGATGTGTTCGGAATGTAATGGACATAAGGATTTAATATTTATTATTTGCACAAAAATACCTGCTTAAAGTTTTGTTAATCTTTTCTGTAATATTTTGTTTTACATTTTCTCTTATTTGTTCTCTGTGATGATTTTCTTTTAATAGATATAGACCTCCAACGTTTCACGTACAAGCATGGTATGATGAGGTGAAAGATTTTAGCTACCCATATGAACATGAATGCAACCCTTATTGTCCATTTAGATGTTCTGGCCCTGTATGCACTCATTACACACAGGTATGTTTTGGGTATTTTATACTCCATTCCTCTAAATTGAGATAGTAAAACTATGGGAGAATATAAAGTACTGAATATATGTCTTATATTATTTGGTATAGTTATATAAAAAGCACATTGCTCACATGAAATAGTCTTACAGATTTTTATTAACAAATTAATTTTATCATGAAAAAGATCAAATATTTACTTAAAAGTATTAGTTAATAAACATATATGAGGGTGGAGTAATTTACTATCTTTGAAAGCAAAGTTTTACTCCAAAGAGTAAAAAAAAAAAAACTTAGTTACTGATAACATTCAGCATTTACATGTGTGCAGTATATATTACTTAGTGTTAAATATATTTATAAATATATTTATAACACAGTTATATACATTTATGTTTAGTTATATATGTATTGCATGTATATTTATATTTAATGTTCATATTTGGTATTGAATGTTTTAAATGTCTAAGTTTACAATGAAAACAAGTTCACAGATTCAGCTCTCCAGTCGTCAGTTTCTAACATTTTTGTAACCTATTATCAGTGAGTCTAATTGTTCTGTATACCCTTGCATGTGATAAGATTAAGATCAGCATTTAACTACTAGTGGCACAGGAAAAAGACTATGTTGTATAAAAAATGTAAGTACTTAACATTTAGGACATTCAAATACTTACATTTTTGTCTGAATATTTCCTTTTTAAAAATTTTGTTCTTTTGTTATAAAAAATGTTCATAGGACATGTAAGTTTGTGAAAATGTAACATTTGAATTATTCAGGAAGTTAGTATTCTGAAAATTCTGACATTTCTGACCAGATAGAGCTATTTGCCATATTGACCTCTTTAAAATTGAATTAGGGGCCGGGGATTTAGCTCCGTGGTTTCGCCGCCTGCCTTGCAAGCACAAGGACCAGAGTTCGATCCCCGGTAAAAAAAAAAAAAAAAAAAAAAAAAAAAAAAAAAAAAAAAAAAAAAAAAAGAATTAAGCATGATACAAAGCCTCGGGAAAAAGTATTTTTTATATTAGTTTTTCAAGATCAATTTTTATCCATTTTTCTCTCAGATATGTTGTCTTCCTTCATCTCAACTTGCTAGTCCTGAGTTCGTCTTTTCTCTACTGTAGGTGGTGTGGGCAACAAGTAGCAGAATAGGCTGTGCCATTAATTTGTGCCATAACATGAATATCTGGGGGCAGATTTGGCCCAAAGCTGTCTACTTGGTGTGCAATTATTCCCCAAAGTGAGTAGATGAAACATTGCTTCCAGGTTTAAATTTTTCTGAGCAGCATGAAATTAAATTTAGATTCTGATATTGTCTCATTTTCAATATATGTATTGAGCAATGTTTAATGTTTTTATTCAATTTATTTAATATGGTAATAATTATAGTTGCTTACTTCATAAAGTCAGTGCTAAAGGGATATGAAAATTAAAAATACAATCTTTAGGAAGACAGGAATCATATTGTATATGCAGTTTTACTCATTGAGCTATTATATTCCATATACATTGAGTAATTTGATTAGAAATTACTAGGTAAAGATAATTGAGGAATTTATTTGCATCTGTGCATAGAACATTTGAATGTGCTACAAATTTTAGAGAACCAATTCTTAGGGTCAGATTTAAATTTATGGTCTGTATTTATTAAAACATGAGATATGGGTGAATATCCCATAATAGAATTTAGCATTCTTTAAAAGCTAGACTTTTAAATAGCAGATTACTTTGAAAAGAATGAGACAGTAATCTACATGCAAATCTAGTAACCAAAAGGATTCTATGCTAAAATAGGTCTGTATTCTAAGTCTAACACATAAAGGTCATTACCTAGAGGATTCACATAGTGGTGTTTTACAGTGTGCTGTAAATCATGACGTTACACTACCTCTTACTGTACATCTCTTTAAGGGGAAACTGGTGGGGGCATGCCCCTTATAAGCATGGACGACCCTGTTCTGCTTGTCCACCTAGTTTTGGAGGGGGCTGTAGAGAAAATCTGTGTTACAAAGGTAAGTACTGTTTTATTGTAATACTCACTTTGATTTATATTTTAATGCAGCTCTCTATTAACTTGTGTTAAAAACATTTCAAAAGTAGTGCTAACAGAGTAACTCAGGGTACAGTGCTTGCTGGCAGGCACAAGTCCCTAGGTTCTATCCTCAGCAGCACATACACATGCCGAAATCCAAAAGAACACTTTATTATTACATAAAAAGTTTTCAGAATTCTATTTCAAGTACTTTGAAGAAGTTACTAAAATACATATAATTTGTAATTTGTTTTTAAATTACAATTATTATAATAAGTGAATTATATCAATGTGTACTCAAAGGGGAGTGACATGAGTTTACCAGATAATCACTTCTAATTCTACTTTGAAGTCACTCTAGAGGGATAATATATATTCCTAAGGGCCATTGTTAATATTAACTAGAAGTATTTCCATAGCTGTCATAATTTTTAGCAGTTTAACATAATTTGTTTTAAGCACTTTGCGTGTTTTGACAAAAATGCATTTCGTATATCTTACTGACCCATAGTGCTAGATGAATTATATTGATTCTTCACTTCTTGCTACAGACTAGATGATTCTTTATGCCAAAGTAACAAAAAAATAATAGTACTATAAAACTGTTATATAATTAGTAATCTCAAATGCATTTGAAACCTTAAAAAGTAAGGATAAATATGGTGTAACTTTTTTGCTATGGTGAAGACAAAATGTTTGTGACAATGCTTTGTGAAAATTCATGCTGTCTTGCTCTTTTTTTCCTATTGGTGATTAAATGAAGATATATGTAGATTTAAGTGAGTTAGAAAAGATTTGAATAAATGCAGTCATTTTTTAGTGCTCATAAAGAGATATTTCATGTTTTCCTTTAATGACTGAATGATTGTTGGCTGTAATGAACAGAAAAGAAATACCCATTTATGCCGACCTGTTACTGTATATAAGTCATTTCTAAATTCCTGGGAGCAGGTATGCCTCTTTTCATTGTGTGTGTGTGTGTGCGTGTTTATTCTCTACCCCCAAACCTACAACCTCCCTGTCTCACAGTGACCACCATATTTCTTTCTCTGACTTTATAATCTCTTTTTCCTAGATTATAAATTCTTGAGATGAAAATAATGGCATATTCCCAGAATGTGCCATTTATGAGCTCTTGATATAGGCCAGTTTGGGAAAAAAATTAAATTCAAAGCTTGAAACTGTTATCTTCTGCCATTTTTACAGTTTTGCATGTTGAAGTATCTTCTAAAAGAAAATAATATAGGGCTGGGGATTTAACTCAGTGGTTCAGTGGCCTGCCTTGCAAGCGCAAGGACCTGAGTTCAATCCCCGGTACCAAAAATCAATCAATAAATAAGTAAATAAATAAAAATAAAAGAAAAAATATCTTTCTATGGAAATGGCTGATGTAGAAATAACAAAGGCATGTTATTCCTACCTAATGCCACATTTCCATTTGGGGAATTCAAAATGTTTTCTTCTGAAAATACTGGGAAAATGATTCCACTTGGGGAAACAAGTTCAAATTTCCCTAGGCTTCAAATTTATTACATTATTATGTAGATTTACTGATGTCATTATGCAAACCAAACACTGATGACACTTTGAATTATAGACAGTGTTTAGAAATGACTCCATTGAATATTAGCTAAATGCTAACATAAATGAATCAAAGGCTTACATGTGTACTTAATTTGCTTCAGTGTAGTACCTAAGATAGTGACGTTAAACCAAAACCTCGGCCAACAAAAGTACTGATTTTTCTAGTTTCAAATATTAAACAGGTATATAAAAGCATTTTGTTATTTAATAATTTATGCCCATACAAAATTAGATTTATATTCATTAAATTCATTCTCTGTAACAGAAGGTTCAGACAGATATTATCCTCCGCGAGAAGAAGAAACAAATGAAATTGAACGTCAGCAGGCCCAAGTTCATGATACTCGCGTTCGAACAAGATCGGATGATAGCAATAGAAATGAAGTCATAAGCACACAACAAATGTGTAAGACCTCCGAACTACTTATAAAAACGTTACAGTTTTCCCCAGTTGGCATATACATCTATATTTTACTTATTTTGACATTTTTAAAATGGGAAAAATAAAACTTGTTATTACATTATGTATAAAGAATTATACAAACATTCACATTATCAGAATTATGCCTTTTTTTTTTAACCTTTAGCCCAAATTGTTTCTTGTGAAGTAAGATTACGAGACCAGTGCAAAGGGACAACCTGCAATAGGTAATAGAGACTATTATTCTCATAATCAAAAGACAAAAGAGAAATATTTTCATTTCATATTAACATTTAAAAAAACTGAATTTTATTCTAAAATACTTTCCTCTAGATATGAATGCCCTGCTGGCTGTTTGGATAGTAAAGCCAAAGTTATTGGCAGTGTACATTATGAAATGGTAAGCATAAAAAATGTAATTATTTAGTAATAGGTTCTGTACAGAAATATTTAACTATTTAATATAGGGAATGACAACTTATATTAAATATAAATATTTTTCTCAAATGTTTACATAACTCATAAGTAGAAAGTGGTTGTATTTCAAGCAGAGCTTAGATGTTTTAATGTGCTTGTGTCTCCTCTTTTTCTTCAAGCAATCCAGCATCTGTAGAGCTGCAATTCATTATGGTATAATAGACAATGAAGGAGGCTGGGTAGATGTAACTAGACAAGGAAGAAAACATTATTTCATCAAATCCAATAGAAATGGTGTGCAAACAATTAGGTAAGTACCCAAATGATCATTTGGACTGGATGATTTTAAATTGTAACACTCAACCGTCACATATTATAGAGCAAAACATAGAAGAATTTAATTTATGAAGAGAGAAGTTGGTAATTTTCAAGGTTCTTGTTAGTTACATGAATTCCATAGATAAAAAGAAAGAATAATCCAAATGAAAAGTTAAACACTTGTTCAGAAAGGGTGTGCCAGAACTCTGATTATTTGAGAGTTTCATTAAGAATGTATAAATTTTCGGTTAATTCTTCATGTAAAATAGTAAAATTTTCAGCTCTGATAAAATGTACCCTAGAGGAAGCTAATTAATACATGTACTTTCTCTGCCCTGTTTAGGAAAAATGATTTACTACATGTATCAGTAACTTAATCAATAAAGTAAAGTAGATTATTAGGTAAGAGTTTTGAACAGTTTTCTAAATATATAATATGCTGTGTTTTTTGTCCACTTAAATGCACACAAAATAAAAAGCATTTAACACAAAATAAAAAGCATCCATTAACTTTTAAATATTTCTCATATTAAGTATACTAATTGCTTTATTTTAAAGCATTAAATAGAAGAATGCAGGCTTCTGAATTATCTTTATGTAGTACCTTTGTATAAATAAACATGGTTCAATTTCATATAGAATACTTGTCTTAGGAAATATGACAGTCCCTTCTTTTTTGTACCTGCCAATTTAATGAAACTCCACAGTTGATTTAAATTGGAATTTATAATTATAAAAAAGAATTTATTGAAAAAGCTTTGCAAATTTGTGTAGTGACCTGTGTATGCAGTTTTTTCAAAGGCTTGATGTGTGTTATTTATCCATTAGCAATACCTTTTAGTAAAATATCCACAGAAACATTTATTAGGTTATTCATTCAGCAAGTATTAATTAATTACAACTAAAAAATAATAATAATTATTAGCTTTAGTAAGCCAAATACTTGATATTGTATTAAAGAACATTTACTCTATTTACTTTTTTCTCTCTTAAATTTTTTTCATTACCTGTTATAAAAATTCTCTTAAAATATGAAATGTGCTACATTTAATAGATTATATATTTGTACCTCAAACAGTGCTATTTTTACAGATGATGAATCCACATATCACATTTGAAAGTGATATAAATGAGTTTGAGATTTTATACCTTCAGTTTTGACTTAAAGTATTCAGAAAGTGTACTATGTTAAAATACCATTAAAAATAAACCCTATCTTTTGCAGTAGGTGTATTTCTCAAAATCTGAGTATATATGAACTAATTAAAATTTTTATATATAATGGTATGCCTTATCTTCTGTTACTATTTTAAATAACACAATATACTGAGAAAAGTTTCATTCACTTACTATAAACATTTTTCTACATACTAGGGTAAACAAAAATGAATATTGCACAGTCCTTTAAAGGGACTTATTATTTTATAGTCTTTTTACAAAATGCCTTATTTACTATTGTGAAGGATTAAATAGGTTGGCTCTGTGGAGACAGATAATTAGTATTTTGAATTTAGATAAGAAACAAATATGAAGATATATGCACTGCTTTTCTGTAAATGTTAAGATTAATAATAAAAAACTAGATCTTAATGTTAGGAATCATACTCTTTTGGTTTAAAAGTGAAGATAGCAGAGACTTAGAACAAAATATAACATAGTCTTGTGTAGGTATTCTAATAAAAATGTTTAAAAAGATAAAGTATGCATAGATCTGAAAGATAAGATGAATTATGTTGATCATAATGCCTACAAGCTAATGACTGACATGTCTATTTTTTATCTTCAGAAAATATCAGTCTGCTAATTCCTTCACAGTCTCTAAAGTAACAGGTTAGCATGTTTTAAATCTCATTTTCTTGCTACAGTGTAGTATTTTTTGCTTTTAAGGATCCACTTACTGCTTTTTGCTTTAATTTTTCAGTTCAGGCTGTGACTTGTGAAACTACTGTGGAACAGCTCTGTCCATTTCATAAGCCTGCTTCACATTGCCCAAGGTACTAAATGAATATATATAATATATATATACACGTAAATTGTACAGAGTCTGCCAAAAAATGTGTACAGACTTCAACAATTTACTGCACTAATAAATGTCTGGAAGTTAACTCTGAACACCACTTAAAATTGTAGAGGTCGAAGGTAAGTTGTATTAATATCATGATGTCTCACATTTATTGTTAAAATATTTAAAATATTTTTTTTCCTGATATATACATATTTGGTGGAATCTATATATACATATTTATAGATATACATACATATATGTGGCTTTATTCTTGTGGTATCTGTTTTTACCTGAGATTCGCAGTTGTATATGAGGAATTAATGGGACATCATAAACTATACGCACTTCAGACACTCCTAGTCTACTTTCTCCAAATGCAAAAATGCTTTCTGCTATTCCACAATAGCAGGGCTTGTGCATATGATCTGTGTGTTCCTATGTGCTACAGAGAGATCTGTCTTAGTCTGCTCGGGCTATTATAACAAAACATGACAGACTGGTTAGCATAAACAACATGAATGATTTCTTACAGTTGTGGAAGTGGGGAGTCCAAGGTCAGAGTGCCAGCTGATGTGGTTCCTGACTTGGATTCTCTGTGTAGCTTGTGGATAGCCAAGTTATTTTTGTGTCCTCTTGTGGTTCCCTCCTTTGTATCTCTTCCTATATGAACACTAATCCTACTGGATAAGGGCTTCATTCTTATCTCCTCATTTAACTTAATTACCCCCATAAAGAATTTGCCTCTAAAAATAGTCACACTGGGGGTTAGGATTCCAACATATGAATTTTGGATGAACAAAAGTATTCATTCCATAGCAAGTTCTTCTGATAGAAACCAAAATGACATTTTTGTTTTGTTTTATTTTGCTTTTTTGAGATAGGGTCTTGCTCTCTAATTCAAGCTGGCTTTGAACACACTATGTAGCCCGTGCTGGCCTCAAACTTCTGACGATCTTTTTGCCTCAGCCTGAGTGTTGGGATTACAAGCATGTGCCTGGCTCATAACATAGTTAATTAAAACAAAAAAATTGTATGATGTTCTTAAATTAAAATAATTAAAATTGATGAAAATTGCACGTTTCAGCATTTATTTCATTTTTTATATACACATTTTTAAAAATTACAATGGAGTTTATCTACTATAAACCAATTTTAAAATGGCCTTCTCTTGGGAAAGCTAAGATGAAAATTGTTAAAACTATTATGGCCATAAGCCATAATCAGTATACAGGAACTGTAAAATCTGTCCCTACATATCCAGCCTTAATGCTACCACACTACTTCTATTAATGTCAGTACCCACCCTCCTTCCAAAAACTAGTAATAAGACTTAGAGATATAATTTTAATTTGAAAAACTATATTTGTCAAAAAATTTAGGGAGCCTAATTTTTATGGCAAGGTTTATTTATTTTGGAAGAGCTTCATTAACTACCCTTTTAAAAGGAAAGCAATGTTTCACTTAAAGAATGAGATTGGTTGTTCAAAAGGTAACGCAAGACTGATGCTTATAGAAGAAATGAGTACTTCATTTTCTGATAGTAGGGAGTTTCTCAATTACAGATAAACCATCAGTTCCTTCACATAAAATAGCTAACTCGTTTCCTTTTGAAAACAGATTTTTTTGTCTCTAACAAAAGATCACTATGTTAATGTTTTTGTTTAACTTGCTGCACGCTGATGTGAGAATTTCTAAATTAACATATGTTTACTGAAATTCGATTACAAAGTATGTAGAATGATTTGAGGGTCCCTTGCTGTTTGAAATTCATCCCATACCTTTTTCCCATTCTACTTCAAATGGGTTGTCTGTAATACATTTTAATTATAGATCTGTAGGGAACAGAGAAAGAGGACATTATCAGAATTTCTGCAATGAGTCCTGACCTCCTGTGAGCCACGACAGCACAAGGCAAGTTAAAGAGGAAAAGACAGGAAATGAGACTTAGAGAGGAGGCGGAGTTCTGGAACGGTATTGCTCTGGGTAGCAAATACAAGACACCTCGAACTTGCCGTGGTTTATTGGGTTCGTAGGTAGTAACAGATGACTCAGAGGATGGCCATAATCCTAAATCAACAGGGACTTTATAATTGGAGAAAATATCAGATGTCTTGGAGGGTGGTGGAGACTGTGAGAATCTCAAAAAGACATAAACATGTCGGGGATTTAGCTCAGTGGTGCCACTGCCTGCCTCGCAAGCACAAGGTCCCAAATTCTATCCCTGGTACAAAAAAAAAAAACAAAACAAACAAAACAACAACAACAACAAAAAACTTCAATAAGTAAAACCTAACTAATCTTGGAGCTACTGACCTTGGCCTTCCTCAAGTCAAGAAGCCAGACAAGCCAGCAGAGTTCACACAACATGGTCTCAAGTCCAGAGTAGGTGTTTTTACAACCACAGGGTGGGTATTTCTCAAATGAAGTGAGATCATTTTCCAGTCAGTGGGAGAAGCCTTCATCTTGCTGAAACCCCTGCCAGTGTGTCTTGTAATAGTCAACGATTTAATTCAGTTATAAAAACTTCATTTCTTATTTACATTTAAATAGATCTGGTTTGCATATTTTATAGAGTATATATATATTTCATACAGTATAATACACATTTTAAGTAAGATCTATAGGTATCTAAAGGACATCTGCCTCAAAAGGCAAAAGTAGTTTGAGTTGAATGTTTTTGGAATACTCTTAGAAAAATTATTGATATCATCATCTACCAGTGAGTGATTTTCACATAGCTGAAATTCTCGTTTACTATGCATAATGAATTATGTTTTTTCTAGCTTCAATTTGTCTTTTTTTAGTGCATGAATGTGTGTGTGTGAGAGAGAGAGAATGAATGAACAAGAGATGATGTGAAAAGTGTTCTATTTGATCGTGTCTGGAACTGTGGGTGTGGATTACATTTTTTTAAATTAAAAAGTAATAGGGCTATGTTGAAATAATAAAGCATTTTGAAATTTCTTTTAGACAAGCTAAACTTGTCATATATCAGTAAAGCAATAGGATGTCTAGAGGACAAGCATTCCATGCAAAGAGGAAGATGAGTGCAAATACCTTGAAGCAGAGCCTGTCATGTGTATGTCTGAGGAATAGACTTGAGGCCAGTGTACCCACTGCAGAATAAAAAAGTGGAAGAGAAGCTGTAATGGGGGAATTGGGGGTAATGGATATGCATTCTAAGGATATTCATTCTAAGGATCTTTTCATTTTTTCTGAATGAGATGGGAAGTCACCAGAGTATTTGGAACAGAAAAATGACATATGTGGGCTTGTGTATTTCATTTTAAGTGTGTGGACATACATTGTGGAGAGGGCCAATCAGAAACAAAGAGAGATCACAGGAGAGCCTGTTGCTGTAAGTTAGATGATACATGATACATTCCATAGTTACTGTGGTCATGGTGCTTGCCTACACTTGGGTATATTTTAATGTACAGCAGGTAGAAATTGCTCCTGTCTTGAATGAAAGGTATGAGACAAAGAGAAGGATCAGGGGTAGGATAGGGTTTTTTTTCTGAGCCTCTATCACAGTGGACTTGCCACGTATTGTGATGGGAGGCTTACAGAAGACCCAGATCTATTAATGAGAGAAGATTAAGAATTTTATTTCATTTCAAATGAATTTGAGATACATATTGATATAAGTGGAGGTATTAAATAAGCAGTAGGATATACAAATTTAGAATAAGAGAAGATTTGGAAATCAGTTATTTATAAATGACAATTAAAACCATGAATTGGATTAGGTAACAATGTGAATTTATGGAAATTTGGAGGTGTCATGAGACAGTGAGTAAAGACTTCCAAGTCATCTGTTTTCTGTTTCATAGACACACTGAATATCGCATTCTCAGATACATGGAGATAATGCTTGTTTTTTTATGCTTTAAATCTCCAAGTTAGAAGGCTTCCTGACTAAATCTTTAAAAATCACATTAATGCTATAACCTCTAAATGGATAAAAAAAAGCAATTGTGCTGACTATATTCCCTGTACAATTAATTGGCCTATTTTGAGAGAGAAAAGGATGAATGGGGTTTATGATGTTGAATTTAATTCTGTATTTGAAGACATCATTTCTTTAATAAGAAAGACTGAAGTGACCAGCTTACTTTATATATATATTTTTTTTCAGAGTATACTGTCCTCGTAACTGTATGCAGGCGAATCCACATTATGCTCGTGTAATTGGATCTCGAGTTTATTCTGATGTAAGTAAACTAATTGCTACAGTTCCTGGTGTTCAAGTATACATAGGAATATACTTATCTGCCTTTATACCCAGAGCAAGGGAATAGTTTTTGTACAGATATAGATGTTCTCAGATTTGCACTGCGAAAACGTAAATATATGGTCATGTACTTTGACTCAATTTTTTCTTCCACATATATCTTATGCCAGACATTTAAAAGAAATACTCTCAAGGCAGTGTTGGAAAGGAAAATATGTTTTGCTTTCTTTTTTAATTCATTAAGTTTATTGGTGCATTTTAGGTATACACCATAGTGGCATTAATCATTGGAATCTTGTACCTTTATATGATATGTCATGGTTCTTATTTTTTTACCCACTCCCCTGCCTGTCCTTCAACCCCTCTGCCTCTTCTTATTTATAAGTGTTCTACAGTTTTTTTAGTATGAACTAGAAAATTAAGAATTTGTCAAATATATAAACAATATTTCACTGCCAAAGAACATTTGAAAAATAGCACAGTTTTAAAAAATAGATAATCCTTTAAAATAAATAGTGGAGTATTGTGAAGGGAATTATAATGTCAATGTGTCTTTTACTGTAATATTTTTAAATGAAACACTTACCGTATTAGTTTTTAATCATACTTCCTACAAAAAGGAACTAGTTTTAGGCATATTGTAATCTATGACATTAATGGGATTGGATGAGGAATATTATTTGTGATGGCCTCAGTTTGGGTAAGTACTTACTTAAGTTGCTAGTAAGAGGACTAGGGAACATATTCTGGGTGGGACAGATGAGAGTAAGTGTGCTTTATTGGGCATAGCAAAGAGCTTTGTTCATTTCGGAGCTTCTGAGAATTGGAGCTAAAAAGGGCAGCAGTCAAATTAGTCTGAGAGAGGGGAATGCACTCTTGAAACATGTAGATTTGATCTGAGAAGTGTGTTTAGTAACCATTAGAGATTTCCAAGACTGAGTCACAAAAAGGCATCTGGGCATTATCTTCTTGATGCACACATTCATTGGAGTACTACAGGAATTTGTTAAAGGAGGCCTAAGATAAGCACACTACCACCTTATTTCTCTCATCAAGTTCATTTAGGTCCAACATTTTTTTCCAATTCAGCTTTACCTTAGAAATCATTCTCTGATTCTGTTTGTCTCATACTCCAGATATGTGTAATTTTTATCTGAAATTTAAATGTACTGCAGGTACCTTGATTTTGCTCATTGTCAGATTTGTGCTTATATTCATTTCTCTGAAATACGTACTTTCTTAAAATTTTCTATCAAAAGTATGGCTGATCTTTACATCCTAAATTATCCCTGTGAGTTGTATTGTTGGCTTTCCTATACCAAGGCTGAAGTCATTCTTGTTTCAGCTATTATTGCTTTTTTTCCTTTTAGCATGTAGACTATTTCATGAAGCAATATGATTGCTGCTACCTTGTCTCTTTTACATTTGTAAGTTCCTTGAATGCAGCCGCTTAAGTATGCATTTTTTCATCACTTAATTTGATGTCTGCCGTAATATACCAGATGGGTTTGTTCTTGCCTTAGCAGAATTTAGAGCACACCGTGAGTGACATCAGGCACTAAGCAAGCACGTTACACATAAATATCTGTTGAAAAGAATAAATTAAGATATGTTCAGGAATGGGCATATCTGGTTTCCAAAGAAATCCGTGTCTCCAAGTTTTCCTTTTAAGCACGAGAACCTTTAGTTTCAATGATTTCTGACTAAAAGAAATTCTTTCCGAATATCCTACACATTTCTATACCTTCAGGACATCTCTCTGATGTTATGGTTTGGTTAGAATCTTTATACTGAGATCATTTTATCTTCTTGTCTCAATAAAATGGGTAGGTAATATGTATTATGTCACTTTTTTAAGAGTAAATTGGAGATATAAAGATTATTAACACATGGTAAAGGGAGAAAAAGAAATTAAATCATTAATTGCCAGCTCCTACAAAATCAATTATCTTTTCAAATAAGGTTGATATGAAAAGGTGAGAATGAACCAAGTTCTCTTCTTCTGTGTGACTCCCTCTTCCTCTTCCCTTTTTCTTTCCATTTATAGAGCTAGAAAATGTACATTCTACTGTTTTGAACTTTCAGTTTTAGTTTATTATACTTTGGAAACTTGTACACATTAAAAATTCGACTGTATTTATAGATAACATAAGTTTTCTTTTAAAAAGTATACATTCTCATAAGGTATACATATGAGAAAAAATTACTGAACTTTGTACTCAGTAGGACTACATAACTGTCAGCAAAAAAAGAAAATCTCAGACGTCGTAAGTGGTTGGATTTAGTGAATGTTATATCTAAGCACTTTTGTTGCCTTGAGGGGAAAATGCTGGTAATACCCTTTTAAAGGAAGAGGATAAATGCTGAAATGTGTCCAGAATTATTTTAATTCCATTTGTTATAAATTCCAAGGAGTTAAGAATTCAGGGTCGGGCTTTAAATGGTGAGTAGAATGCCACCTCAGCAGAAGGACACAGGTTTTAGATGTATGGTACTTTGTGAAATAGCAAAAGCATGAGAAGAACTAAACAGCTGGACCTTCAGGATCTTTTAACTAATAAGTACTGACTGATGTCCTAGAGTTCAGAGCACAGTAACAAAGCAAAGTCATGTAAGATACACATGCTGAACTTAACTTTTAAAAGCATATTAAATCACTGCCTGTGCGCAGAGACGGGAAGACAAAAATGGCGCTGAGGAAGACCAGCGCAGCTGTGAGATGGATTGCTGTACACTGAAACGTTTCAAGTATTTCCTTTGTGGGACTTTCTCAGGCTAAACTCTGCTATCCACAAATTTTGGTAGAACATTTGGATTAAAGCCAGTGTTAAAAAGTAGGCAATACACACATGCTCTGAAAAAAATTATTTTAGAAATCAGTAGTTTTAAAAATTTGAAAGTACTCTAACTAAAACAATACTTTTCTCCTCCTTAGAAAATCATATCCAATTCAGCTTTTATAACTGATGTATTATAAACATTGAATTTTCCTAGGATCTGTATCAGACCCTTCAAACCTGGGTGAAAAGCTTTGCAACTCTCGGTGGAAGTTATGATTATTCTTTATGTTTTTCTTCTTGGAATTATTCTTTCAGGCAAATATCTGTACATAGATTATATTATTTAATAGGAAAAAAAAATCCCCTCTTAATAAATACCTATATCTTAGCAAATGGATTATTACATGAGAACCATGGTTGAGTTGCACATGAGTCAAAACTGAACATAAATGAACAAAAATGAACAGATCGCCCAGCCTGTATTTGGTCACACTGATTCAATATACACCAGCAAAGGCTAAAATTAAAATGACAGGCCCTTGAAGAGTTAAAAGGAGTCAGTTTTCTCTTTATTGCTTTGACTAATAAAGCTTGCTGTTTGGGTGAGACAAGTGTTTGCTAGGTTAAATGGTGTAGGTGTCTTACTATGGAAACCGTCCATAGCGTTTGCCTGCAGACTTGATCAGTTAATTGACTTTGACACTATGACTTTTCAAACATTCCTTTATGTGCAGAATATCACCCAGTAGCTGCTCACTGGCTAGACAGACAGAAATGAGGGACTTCAGTCCAATAGAAGAGTAGATTGGGTAGTTCAGGAGAAATTTCCTAATGACAGCAAGTTCTTTGCTTGCTTTTTCAGCTGTCCAGTATCTGTAGGGCAGCGGTACATGCTGGGGTCGTTCGAAATCATGGTGGTTATGTTGATGTTATGCCTATGGACAAGAGGAAGACTTACACTGCTTCTTTTCAGAATGGAATCTTCTCAGAAAGGTAAAAATAAAGCATGTTATACGTATTTCTGATATGCCATCTATCTTATCATTTAGGATTGTTTTAGAATGGACCCACTTTAGGCTGGGATAGAAGCTAAACCAATGCATTTCCTTTATACCCTTGTGTAACAGCTATTCTTCCAGAGATGGGAGACGCTGTAGTACCAGAGGGGCTTGTCACCTGCAGGCTTATAAAATTCATCGTGAAAATCAGATTATGAGTCAGAACCACTCTTTTGTTAATTGATCTTATAATTAGGAGATTTCTTTGATCCTCTTTTGGGTTTTCTAGATTTTTTTTATATTTCATTCTTTTAAGTGAGCAAGGCATGGAATATTTCTCTAACCTAGTTACCTGACAAAGTATTTGACAAAAACAATGTGTCTGATTTTTCCCTAAAACCAAATTCTCTTTTTGATTGAAAATTGGATGCCTAGTATGATGCAAATGAAGCCTTTTAGGTCATCTCATGCTATTTAACTCCTTAAATGTTATATATTTTAGTAATATGAGAAAATTCATGTGACTCACTTTATCAAATATTAGTAAACATTATAAGAAATGAGCTTTCAATGATTTTTAAAAATTATTGGTATGTATGGATGTAATATTAAGTCCCATTTATTTATATAGATGCAAAAGAATTCCTCTTAAATGTTTGCTTAATTCTTCAAAATTGCCAATGAAAGATATCTATCTATCTATCTATCTATCTATCTCTATATATATGGGAATCTATCTATCTATCTATCTATCTATCTGTATCTATCTATCTCTCTATATATGGTAGTTTCTCTGAATAACAGTAAAGGATGCAAGGTATCTATCTTAATTATTTGTGTATCATCTTCATACAAAGACAGATCTGCATTTAGTATCTGTTTTCAGGTAAGATTATATCAAGAAACTATTGTTGAAAAGGTGACTTCCCTTTAACCTCGCTCCTGAACTATGCAGATATGTCAGATAAATAGATTCTCAAATCACAAATCCCATGTACCCTTTTATAATCTAAACTGAGTGTTGTGAGTTCATTTACCTCTGATATTTTCTGTGTGTATTTTAAAACCACAAAATGGTAGCCAATATTCTAAGAAAGATGAAAACAATCATTATTTTTGAGTAGCTACTGTGAATATTATAAACACTAGACTCTCCTGGACTCTTTAAGTATATTAGCTCATATAATTTTGATTCTACAAATACTAATTTGTATTTGTGTTAACTGAGTCAAACTCATTAAATAATTTATGTGCCTAAGGTCATGTAACAGTCCTGAAATTCAGGTTCAGCACTAGGTCTTGAGCTTAAAGATAAACATTTTTCCAGCGTATCACTATGTACAAATAAACACCAAACACCCCACCTGCTAGGTCTCTTAGTCTGTAAATATGAATAAATACAAATAGCTTTAGATTGGCCATATATTTGTATGAGAAACCTGGTGTGTGTGTGTGTGTGTATGTGCGTGTATTTGTATGTCGTTATATTTTTCTCACTCTAAAATTCCCTCATTTGAATAATTCTCTAACACAATTATACTCTGTCTTTCTTAGCACTTAATGTGTTGACCTTGAAGTCTTTTTTCATTATTAAGAAAATTTACTTAATGCAAAAATGTAAAAATTTAAAAAGCTTGTGCAGTTGATGAAATTAATGACTAACATCAGTCTACTTTAACTTTTAGACATTAAGCAAATATAACTCATTTGATGTTGTCAAAATAAACAATAACAACTAAAATGCATAGTTCTGCATTACTTTTTAAATTTAGTTTTAAAAGTAACTCCAAGAATGAGAGTGTTCTGTGGATTATGTGAAGGTGGTATGTCCTTTCATATTTGACCATTAAATTTCTTTAATAACATATTTCTTAAAATTGTAAATGTTAAATATTAATCAATATTAATCTGAAAATATAATTAAACTTTTTTCAGACTTAGGAAATGATAATAAGCATTTCCTAGAGCATTTCTTAGATACCAGCCATTTTAAAAAGTCATAGTTAATTTTAACTATCCAGGTCACTTGTGAACCTGACTCAGTATCCTCCAATGAAATGGAATAACTCTGCTTTATTAGATTGCAATGAAATAATATACTAAGGCATGATTTAGAATCTGTGAAGTTCTATAGAGATGCTTATTTTTCCTATAATCTTAGATTTATTTAGTAAACTACTTCAGCATACAACCAAAATTTTAAGGATTATGTCATCCTCCCTTGAGCTTTCCAGTAACTATAAATTATAGTAGTCCAAGAACTTTGACCATCTGGATTCACAGAGGTGCTTTCTTGACTGTCATAAGACACTATGATTTATTAGAAGGATTATATGTGGAAGTGACAGCAATATATATATTTATATATATATTTTTTTTTTTTTGTATTTTTTGCAGTTTACAGAATCCTCCAGGAGGAAAAGCATTCAGAGTGTTTGCTGTTGTGTGAAATGGAACACTTGGAAGGGGATCATAAAGTCTATTCCAAATGCCATATTTCTGAAAGTTTGTATAAAACTGTAACATTACTGTACAGAAGGTAGAAACTATTTTCAGCCCCACCCAAGTGCCAGATGCATATAAATCTTGATAGACAAAGTCTATAAAATAAAACATGGGACATTAACTTTGAGAAAATAATGAATATGTAATGGTTTTAGAAATCCTGTGTTAAATATTGCTATATTTTCTTAGCAGTTATTTCTACAGTTAATTACATAGTCATGATTGTTCTACAGTTCATATATTTTATTATATGGTGCTTTGTATATGCCACTAATAAAAAGAATCGAAATATTGAATGTGAATGACTTTCAAAAATTATCTGGTACATTTTAAAACAATGAACTCTAAAACTGAAAGAAACATTTTTATCATATTTTCTCCAGTCCAAAGTATGTTATTACATACTTTAAATCTCAAGTTGTTTTTCACTTAGTACCAGCACAGTTTTTTCCTCTACATTTAGGTATATAGGATATTGTCTTGATATTACATTATTTTATATAAAATAATCTCTTAATATCCAAAAGAAACTTTTAAAATGTTTGATTTCTTGGGAATGGAATAAAGTCAAAGTGTGGTATGAAGACACTGTTAATGATCATATAGCAAATATAGGATTAAGTATGAGCAGCCAGAGTTTCAATATATTGTTAAAATTGAGGTCACACATTCCTGGCAAATACTCCTGCAGGCCAGGAAGTATAATAGCAAAATGTCTAACAAAGACAAACTAATGTATTGCATTACTATTGCCACTGCCACTGATTTTCATAATGGTGAATGGCCTTGTGTATAAATATTGCCATATATGGTGCCTATGGTAGTGATATATTTGTTTCTATGAAAAATGTATTATGCTTTGAGACTAAAAATCTGTACTTTGCTAGTGAATTTATTCATTTCCTATAAACATATTAAAATCAATAATGTTTTTGAAGTCTTATTTTCAGCTCCATTTGCATGCTTACTTTGACTTAGAGGTTGTGGTAAGGTAAATTAGCACAATTGACATGCTTTGTAAATTTGACACTAGTATAGATATCATACTTAATAGTAGAAGTCTGCAAAGTTAACCTAATTACTTAGCTCTTTTTACATTTTCAGTTTATACATTTCCAATAGAACTTTAAATTACTTGCTATTTTTATGTGGAAGAGAAGACATTCATTTAGAAGAGCTATAACAGAAAAGTTGAATAAAATGAGTGATAAAATTATAAAGAAGAAAAATGTCTGAAATATATGAAGGGTTTATCAATATAACAAAATTGGCATGAGAATAAATACTTCAAGTATTTTTAGAAAGTGAATGAGCATGTATTTGGGAGCAGAAAAAAGGGAGATAATTTTTAATCTTTATTAAGTTTGTTGGTACATTTTATGTATACAATGCAGTTACATTCATCATTGGGATCTTGTACCTCTATCTGACTTATCTTTGTTCTTATTTTTCCCCATTTCCAGCCCTGCCATCAGCCCCTCTACCCTTTTCTGTTAAAGACATTTCCATGTTTTTCCTTTTCACATATTTTTTCTTTTCCCTTTTTCCCTTTCCCCTACTCCTCCTATTTCCTCTACTCTTTTAGACCTTTTCTTCCTATCACACAATATAAATTATACATTTTGATCCTTTTTTATACTTTTACTTTTTCACACCAAAGAAATTATTTGGTACTTACACATGTGTGTCCTATTTAGTTCACCTTAGAATATGGCCTCAATGTGCATCCATGTAGCTATAAATATCTCTAGTTTATCATTCTTTATGGCTGAGTAGTAATCTATTTTATAAGAAAAAACACATCATCTTTATCCAATCTCCAGTTGATGGGCAATTGGGCTGTTTCCAAGTTTTAGCTATTACAAACTGTGCCGCTATAAACATGGGTGAGCATATATCACTGTGGTATGATTATTTTAATTCTTTTGGGAAGATACCCAGCAGAGGGATAGCTGGGTCAAATGGGACTTCTAATCCTAGTTGTTTGAGGTATCTCCATATTGATTTCCACAGTGGTTGCACCAGTCTGCACTCCCACCAACAATGGAGAAGGGTTCCTATGTCCCCACAACCTCGCCAGCATTTGTTATTGGTTTATTTCACTATAGCAGCCATTCTTTGTGGGGTGAGGTGGAATCTCAGCATTGTTTTCATTTATATTTCTCAAATGACCAGTGATGTTGAATATTTTTTCATATGTTTATTTGCTCTTCTTACTTCGTCTGAGAAATCTCTGTTCATTTCAGATAACCATTTTCAAATTGGATCTTTATATTTGGGGGTTTGATTTTTTTTTTTTTTTTGCATTCTTCAAAGATTCTAGATAGTAGACCTTTGTCTGAGGAACAACTGGTAAAAATTTTTTCCCACATTGTGGGTTTTCTCTTAGCTCTTGTGATTTCTCTGGCAGTGTAGAAACTTTTTAAAAAGATGAGATCCCAATTGTTGATTCTTTGTGCTAGTTCCCGTGCTACTGAGGATTTGTTCATAAAGATTTTCCTATGCCAATATCTTCAAAAGTTCTACCTAATTTATCTCTCAGCAAGTTTAGTGTTTCTGTTTTAATATTTATATCTTTAATCCACTTTAATTTTAGTTTAGTGAATGGGAGATATATTTATATAGTGTTCAGGGAAACCAAGAGAGTTGGATAATGCAAAAAGAAAGAAAAGAAAGGAGGGACTCAAATAGCTTTTGGGAAGCAAATTATGAATAAACTAAAATGGAGGCAGTTAAGTAGTTCAAAATATAGGTGATAAAACAATTGATGTTTTATAAATTAAAAATTTCAAATCTTAAAGTAGATTTTGGGGAAACATTTTTCCAGGACATACCTTAGCACATTCATCTTGGAGAAATAATAACACGACCATAGCTAATAAGCGAAGGATTATGTAAAAATAAAGTTTAGGATCCTAAAAACAAAAGACCTTATCATCTTATTAAATACTGTATGTGACTTTACCTGTATTTTTCTTCATTATTTCTGCTCCCCTTCGTTCGTAAATCTTTATCAACACTGTCAGTTACAGTTTTATGAACATCCTTGAACTAGACCACTATATTTTTGAAAGCAATTTTTCAATGATTTCTAGTAAATATTTTTAAATTAAAAAAATAGTTGTCAAGTACATTCATGATCATGCTTACACAGATGAAAAGCAGATGACCTGCCAAAGGCCTGACATTTACTGAGCAACAGATTTATGTTAGTAACGTTGCTATACATTTCATATGCTATTTGATTCTCATAACTTGAGAGACACAATTATTGCTCATCCTTATTAAACAGATTCTAAAAGGTTATCCAACATTGTCTATAGTCTCAAGTTTGAAAAATATAATTTATATCTACAGTTCTCTAAGTACAAAGCCCTCCCTCTAGATCCCTGCTAGATGCTTTCATGAGGACTATGAATAACTGTACTACCTCTCCCATAACAGGTTTAGAAATACTCTTATATAAGAGTTTATAATCCTTGAATATGCCATGAGTTTGCTAGATGTAAGAAGATCTGTAAAAAGAGAACAGGGATTTAGCCTTCCATAGGAATATTTGGTCAGGGAACACCAGAAAAGATGAGGTTTATGTCCCAGAGATTTCAAACTAGTAAACTACTTTTTCAAGGCAATAAACTGAACTAGTACCTCTCCTCCAATTATAAAACAGAAACTAATGAGAAAGACAAATATATTCATAGATGTCCTGAAAATGAACTGTAGAGGGGATGATAGTGAGGATTAATTAGAGCACCCGGAGCCTCAGCTCAGCACCCACAGTGAAGGTTGCAGTAGGAAGAGGGCTTTTATTTACAGTGTAGCCACAGACAGAGACCGAGGATTCTGTTTTCTTCCCGTCATGGGGCCTCCCTGACTTCATTCTTTATGCTTGACAGGCAGGTGCTCACTGCTGAGCTACATCCCTGGCCTTCATTAACATTCTGGAAGGGAATTTAGGAGACAATATAATTATAAATCTAGAACAAATTGGTATGGAAAGAAATAATCAGAGAATTAAAAAGTACCAGATTTTATAAAAGAAGGTAAGAATTACATCTTCCTTGTAACACTACGAAATGAGAATAAAAGTGAGTTTAGAAGCTGGGATGTGACTAAAAGTAGGAATTTTATAGAAGTGGAAGTCATTGCAGAATTTTTTTGTTAAAGATAAAAGTATAAAATGTATATAGCCATCCAAATATAGGATAACTGAATACTATTGATTATCAAGCAAAATTAAATGTAAGCTATGATATAACACTATCTAGTAAAATTCATGTTTCTATATCAGCTTTGCCTCTTTGTAGTTGCATAGTACCATGTTATATTAGACATTGATTGTGTGTATGTTATACTAGAATGACAATAACTGCCTCACAGCAGAAATACAAAAATTAAGTAAAAGAATACAGCTGTTAAATCTTTGCCCATATCGGGTTGCATTATTGTCTTCTGTATTTTCTTCTAGATATTTTATATTTTTGTCTACAATCTTACTGATTCCATTTTGTACATTTTTAAGGTAGGAAATTTATTTTTTCCATATGGCTATTCTGTTTTTAAGTGCTATTTTTTGAAAAGACCATTCTTTCCCATTGAATTACCATGATGACTGTGCTAAAAAAGTCTATTTCTGGTTACATTATTCTAGCACTGTTTGATAGAAATTTAATGTGAGCCATACATATTATCTTAATTTTTTCCAATATTTTTATTACTAAAATAGAATTCAATTCATTTTAATAGTACATTTAATTTAACCTGGTGTATCAAAATATTATTGTAACATATCTCTATAAAATATTTGGTAATCATTTTGTCCTGAAAACTAATTTATTTGCTATTAATATTGTCACTTCAGGATATTTATAGTAGCTCTTGAAACATAGGTTTTCACTGATCCACTTAGTTAAAATATACATTACCTGATTTTTAGTGTACTTGTCATGGCCAGTAGGCTAAAGGGGGCCCAGTCAGTCAAAATTTTAAAATCTTCAACACACCTGAAACCAAACTTTAATTTTATAATATACTATTTATAGTGGCCTACAGCAGACATCCCTGCCCAGTACTCACAGGCTGTGAATGGCACATGCTTCTTGCTTCCCTTG